GATTCAGTAGTTGCAGTTTGTTGTGTTGGCCAGGCGTTCATTACGCGCGTTGGGCCAGCACTCACACGGATTTGTCTCCCTCTGTTGCTGCTCACGCTAACCAGCGCGAGCTAGCGTTACTCTCCGGCGCTGCCTGAGTGCGTGTTGAGCTTTGGCGCATGTCACGGTGTGCCGTTAGTGCTCTGACTTCAAGCTCTCGGACATTCAAAGGGAGGGTGATTCGAGCATTGCCCAGTCATCCGCATCATTCGTGTGAATGCGCCCAACCGTTTGCGGATTGTTGCGTGCTGTCCATGAGTTGCCATACAAGGCGACAGTATATTCGCACAGGCACATGAATGCGCATGCATTGTAAGCTCAGCTGGCACATGGTTTCATGCAGCCACGCATGCATCTATGTGGTACGGGTTCACGCCAAGTAGAGATACAATGCGCGTGGGCATGACAGGTTTCAACGCTTCCAGTGTTTATTTGCAAGCTTTGCTTCGCCTGGGCCATCCGCCAACGTCCTGGCCTTCCTGCTAGCGCCTGTAATATTGGCCCGGCTCGCCCTTCCCCTGCTCAGGTTTATGTGTGCGCGCGCGCTTGCTGGGCAGTGCCGCAAGCTCTGGAGGTCGGGAGGCATTGTATTTTTGCGATTGGGGCATGATTCCGAACCAATCGCCTTCCGCCTCCCTCCTGCAAGACTTGCGCGCGCGGGCTAAGGGCTAAACTCTGAGAATCTAAGTCCAGCGGCTCCCAAATCTTTCAGCGATAACCTACACGCGCGCTCGGACTCAGAGAGGAGAAGGAGGAGTGAGTAGGAGGAGGAGCTTGGGCTCGAGCGCCTGGAGGTAGAGGGAGGAGGAGGAGGAGGAGGAGGAGGAGGAGGAGGAGAAGTAAGATCAGCCGCTCACGCGTCGAGCATGCCGCCGCATGGCTGCCGTCGGGCGGCTCGCCGCTGGCCTCCGATGCTGGCGGCGATCGATCCTCGCGCTGCAGTGTCCGCGGCCCGCGGGGTTGCGCTGGCGGTGCACGCTGCGGCAGGCTTGGCGCGTGGCTCCGCGGCCACTCGGCTGCTTCGAGCCGCCGAGAGCCTCTGCCGCACATGTGGCGGTGGTGCTGGAGGCCGAGGCGCGGCCTCGGAAGCCCGCCCGCGCCGAAGGGCGCGCGGACGGGCCACCTGCTGCTCCCGAAGGCGCCGCGCCACCCGAAGACCCTCGGCCTCGGCGGCGCAAGCGCCGCGGCGCTGGCATGCAGGTGGAGCCCGCCGCGCCCGAAGCCGGTCGCGACGGCGGCGGCACGGCGGGCGGCGGCGACGGCGGCCTCGGGAACGACAGCTGGGCGAACACCCTGTCCCGCCACGCACCCTCGGCCGAAGCGCCCGCCGCGGCGCCTGGTGCCGCCGCAGGGTGCTGGTAGCGGCTGGCAAAGCGCCCCCCAGTCGTGAGTCGCCTGGAACCTTGCTCGGCGGCGAGGCCGGGAGCGCCGAGCGGCCCGCGGAGCGGCGCCTGAGGCGGCTGCTGTTGCTGGCGCGGCGCGGTGGTCGAGGCGGCCAACGGCGAGCTCGCGGAGAAGATCGCGCTGATCGCAGCGTGGCTCTCGACGCCTCGAACTCGCGTGGCCAACTTTGTGCCCCACTCCGCGGCCCGGCCGATCGGCCGCCTCCGCGCCTGGCTCGCCAAGGCCGTGGGGGCACCCAGCACCGATGCAAGAGGGGGGAAGCAGCGGAAGGGTCGGCGATGACGCGCCCCCCCGCGGAGGGAGGGCGCCACTTGCCTTTCTGTCCCCCCTCCCTGCCATGGAGCACCAGATGGCATGGCATCCATGGAGCACCCTGCCCTGCCTGTCCCCCTCGTGGCGCATGGCATCCAAGGTAGCCAACCACGAGCCCACCAGATGGACGTGGCGTGCAGTGCACTGGCAACCAGGAGAGAACTCACGGCAACGTGGCCGGAGACACCACGGCGGCCAGCGCAAGCGTTGGGACGACAACCTCGTCAGCTTCCTTCAAGAACACCGACGCGACGTGCACCCAGCGCCCACACCAACCAATGAGCAGGGCAAACCGAACGACCTCACTTGGCTTCGTTCAGCTCAAGACACCACTACGTGGTCGATACTCGAGCACACAAATACATCAGCACATCGCCGACATTCACAACCAGGATTTCCTCCTCCTCTCCCCTCCTCCGACATAACATGTGGTGTGCTGCGCAGATTCATAACTTGTTGCATGTCTCGCAGTTCCTATGCATGTCTGTATGTTTACCAGAGGCCACGGCTTCGCCCACCTGGTCTCAGCAGGCCTGGACAGCCGTCCGATGTGGTAGTTCGTTCGTTCGTGGTGATCCAGTCCACGTTGCCCGTCCGATCAGGCAGTCGGGGCGCGCCTGGAAACTCTTGCTGGCGCCAGGCTGCGTCGACGAGGAGGGTTGGGGTAATCGGAAGAGCGCGCATGAGTGGGGCAAGAGCAGGAGAAGAAGGCATAGGGAAGCGGATGCACAGGATCGGGGAATGACGGAAAAAAATCGGGATGGAAGGAGGATACGCAGGAGGAGGAGGAGGAGGAGGAGGAGGAAAAGCAGGAGGAGGAGGAGGTTTTCAGGCTGGGAGATGAGGAGGACAAATGAGAAGAAGGGAAGAGGAAAGAGGGGAAGCCCACGAACCGGAGCGCCTGGAGGGGTGCGGGAGTGGCACGGGGAAGGCTTTTGGGAGGGGGCTAGCGGGCACCGACATCGTCGCGGCTACAGCACGGGAAGGGAAGGGATGGGACAGAGAGGGAACAGGGCGGGAGAGCGGGCGGGAGAGGGAGGGAGAGGGGAGGAGGCGGAGATAGAAGCAGCGGGGCGAGCTGGAGCGTTGCGCTGCGACTGGCGCGGGCGCGCGGGCGGCGTTCCCCAGCAACGCAGATTGAAGGCTCGGACTTGCGAATCCCCCCCCCCCTTGGGAGCGACGACCTCTGGGCGGTACGCTGTTCTGGGGGGGGGGGCCGACGAGGCGCCTCCTCGCGGAGAACCGCCGGCTCCTTGTCAGCAGTGCGCCCGGCCGCGCAGATGATCGGCGCGCAATAGGAGATGCACGAAGAGGGGCACACATGGGAAAGCGTCGTGTGCATCTTTGGCCAGGACCATCGAGGAGCACGCTGGGTCATCCTGCGAGAAAAATCCGCCAGGGAGACCGAAGAATGCACCGGGAATGGACGCCCGAGTGATGGCGAGTTTGGGGCAGGGTCAGGTTGTTCATCGATTGCCGTTTGGGCTTCTGCGCGCAGGCACGCGCGCCCCGTGCCACCGAGCAATCTTCTGGCCAATGCACAATGACCCTTGGACGGCACCTTCGGCTGAGGGAGGAGACCCATCGCGTATAGCCAGGACCCCAGGTAAGGGGACCCGGTTAGTAGTAGGGCCCTGAAGCCCTTCAATGGGCCAGAGTCACTAAACCAGGTCTGCCGTAGCTGGTGTTTTTCTGGATGACGGCAGTTCCGCTTAGTGGAACGGGGCGAGGGGTGGGTCCTCCAGTACACATGATTTAACCAAGTCCCAGTAACCCCCGTTCTACCAACGCCCGAAAAGAGACGGGGAGGGAGGAGCCGAAGGAGGCCCGCGAAGGGCGGAGCTTGGAGAAGGAAGAGCCGGTGATGACAAGCTAAGCGCGCTCGCGCCATATTTGACACCCCACCCCTCCCACCCATGCCTTGCAAATTACGCTGGTTTGTCATACATACATATATATATATATAGATGTATATATACATATATACATACATACATACATGCATGCATACATACATGCATGCATACATACATACATACATACATACATACATACATACACACATACATACACATACAGATACATACATACATACACATACACATATATATATATATGTATACATATACACATACCTATACATTTACATATACGTATACATATACATATACATAAACATATACATATACATAAACATGTACATGTACATGTACATATACATATACGTACATGCATAATACGGGTCTTGGTAAATGACCCACGATGGGGCGGACCAGAGCGCACTTCTGAACGACGGGAACAGCGCGCCGATCCCAAAATGAGGCCAACACCGCAGCGGGAGCACCATGTTGATGGACCGCAAAGACCGAAAAAGCCATAGGAATGACCAAATTGTGAGGTCTTGCGCACAATATACGGAAAATGCCGACTATCTTCTGGACAGGATCAGCAAGTAGTATTCATAAGGTGGTGTATTTCTGGAGCTGGAAGGGGAGGACTAGAGCAAGCCCAAGATGCATCGACGGTGTTGCAAGACTGGTCCGCACATGCTCCCCACCCAAATCCCCTCCTGAGAAGTCCCTGCAGGCCTTCCTTTGCATTACAAGAAGCACCCCCATGGAAGACCAGAACCCTAAGGGCCTGTCGCTCAGGCGAGGGCACTCTGTTGACATGGACTTGATTTGCATCGTCCTGGTGGGCAAATAGGAATGCGACAAATTGCGATCACACATCTCAAAAAGATATACAGCGAGATTCCGTTCTGATTGGTTTAAGTCACGTCATGAACGTCGAATACGTTCCAAGAGAGAGCCCAAATTTCAAAAGGAGCCGGCCCACATCCGCGCTGTTATTGCATATGTGCAGTTCTCTTGTCTAAGAGTTCAAAGCAGACTCAAGCGGAACCTCATTTTTGAAACCTCAATTCTTGTAATTGTTGCAGGCGTTTCCAGCGAATGTGCGTGGCGCTGAGGCGAAAACCCAAGTTCGAACAGGAGCCACTTTCCATTATAGAAGCGGCTGCGGTGTTTTTAAGACGAATGCGCGCGGCGTCAAGGCGATTTCCCCAGTTTGAACACAGCCCCCATTCATATTCGAAATTGCGTCCAACTTTTGAGACGAATGGGCGCGGCGCTAGTGCGAGAGCACCATGTATAAAAAAGACCACCCCTCCATCGTCGAAGCGGCAAATATTCTAGAAGGTTACGTCATTCCGCAGACCCCCATAATTTTGAATTCGTCAAGAGTCGTGCCACCGTGTCTGGCCTGTGGGTCAGGAGCCTGGGGGATGCAGATAAGGGTCATCTGTAATGCCTCCCAGGGCCATTTGAAGAGTTCTTGGTGGCATCTGATTGGCTTTTGGAGGTCTCTTGGGGGCCTTTGGGGGGCATCTTGGGTGCCTCTTGGAAGCCTATTGGGGCCTCTTGGGGGCGCCTCGGGGGTCACTGAGGGTCTCTTAGGACCACCACGGCGAGAACGACTCGAGATGTCAGTTCGTACTGCCCCTCTTGGGGCCCTCCTGGGTCGCCTCAGGGGCCCCTGGGGCCGTCTTGGGGCGCCGTGTTGGGACGATCTTGGGAACTCCTTGGGCCCCAGTGGACGCTGTCAAGACGAAAAAGGCGTGCATGTGGAAAGCGCACGTTTTCCTGAAGGAGAGGGGCGAGATGTGCCCCTTGGGCCCCCCTCGGCGGCCCTCTGGGAGCACTCTTGGGCCGCCTTGGAGGCCTCGCAGGCCGTCCTGAAGCCATGTTGGACCGTCGTGGGGTGACCCTGGGCCGTCTCTGCGCTCTCTTCGATTGTCTCGGCGCTCATTGGGCTGTCTTGAGGCGTTCTGGAGGCTCCAGAGAGTACTTGGCGTGCGCTGGCGGGCTCGTGCCGCCCGCCCCCATCCCCCCTCCAATACGATGTTTGGCACCAGGGGAGGGGATAAAGGCAGGGGAACAGCCAATTATCTCACACCCCCGGGAAGCGGGGGTCGGCGGATTCGAGACGAGCGTGCGCGTCGTCAAAGCGAGAGCCCCTTTTTGAAGAATCGTGCCCCTCCTGTCTTTCCACTTTCACACATTTCTTGGTTTCACGGTCATCAACGGCGATGGAATATGAGGCGAAGTGCCTGGCCCGCCCTAACAAAACGTCTCGGGGCGCGACAGGGAGGAGTTACTTACAAGGAAGAGCGATGTAGAAGGAGGTGGAGGAGGAGGAAGGCCAGAGTAAACCCAATATGTATCAACGATGCTGCAATACACCCTCCCGTCCCAATGTCCTTCATCATAAGTCGTTGCAGGCCTTCCTTTCAATTGTGAGAAGCGCCCCTTGAAGGACGAGCACCTCATGGGCCCGACATTCAGGCGATAGCCCTGATTTGAAAAAGAACCGCTTCGCATGTACCGGGCGAATCATGACAAAAGAAGCAAGCCAGGATATACAGTTCAATCGGGTGTCCAGCGAGAGCATCGTTTTGACACGACCCGCCCCACACCTGTGCAATCGTCCACGTGTCTACTCTTGCGGCGATAATTTCGAAGTGTGTCCAGTTTGACACCATTGGCCTCGGTGTTGCATTCTGCTGAAAGGAATGTGCGCGGTGCTTTGGGCGAGAGCCCCATTTTGAACAGGGCATTGTTCCATCCGTGTAAGTGCGGCGATCGTTTAGAACGAATGCGCGTGGCGCACAGGCGAACACCACAGTTTAAAAGAGGACATGCCCTCGATCCGAGCAACTGCTGCAAACTTTGCTTGGCGGAGCGCAGGCGAGAGCCACAGTTTCAAAAAGTACAAGCTTCTATCTGCGCAGCTGTTGGAAATTCAAGGTTCCGGGATTGGTGGGTGAAAGGAGGCTTCAAGCGAAACGATTGGCCTAGCATATGGACGCGGTTGGTGGTTTGACAGGGATGAGTCATTCATAGGCCGAAAGGGTGGAGAAGGAAGGATCCGAGGAATGAGGGTGGATCGAGCTTGGCAAAAGGGGGCAAGGGGGAAAGGATTGAGGAGGAGGAGGAGGAGGAGGAGGAGGAGGAGGATCATCCGATCTAGGTCCGCGCAACGTCAAAATGAGCAGGAGGAGGAGTGAGGAGAAGGTGAAGGAGGACAAGGGGGAGGAACAGGAGGGCAGCAGGAAGGAGGGAGGAGCAATAGGAACCTGAGGGCAGCGGGCGCTTGTGTTCCGGCGGCAACCGCGGCCCAAGGGGCGAGCCTCCCCCCGCGCCGCCCCGCTCCTCCACCAGCCCGCGCTCGCACGCCTGCTGCTGGCGTGGCGGCAGGTGCGCCGAGCCGACGACGGCGGCGGTGACGACGACGACGACGACGACGACGACGACGACGACAAGGATGACGACGACGACGTCGACGACGACGACAACAAGGATGACGAGGAGCGGCGACGACGAGGAGCGGCGACAACGAGGTGCGGCGACGACGACGACGACGACGACGACGACGACGACGACGACGACGACGACGAGGGCGGCGGTGACGGCGGCGGCGGCGGTGACGGCGGCGGCGGCGGTGACGGCGGCGACAGCAGCGGCGGCGATGGCGACGGCGGCGGCAGCGGCGGGATGCTGTGCTGCAGCGTTCTTCGAATCTCATGCTGCATGTCGCATATTTGGGTACCGGTTGTCCGGGTCCGTTGCGTACCAGGCCAAATTTGCTGCGCTCATGCGCATGTGGAGGAGGGAAAGCATCGGAATCATTCATATGAGAGTATGGTGAGTCCGTGGCAAAGTTGAGCAAGCGCAGAGAGGGGGCGGGGTGCCCAGCGCGATTGCGTTCGAGCGTAGCTCGTTGGCGAAACAGTTCACGGGGCAGCCAGTGTCGCCGATCGCGCGTGCTTTGAAAAAGAAGTTCGTTCCCTTGGGCCGCCGCCCATTCCCATACATTCATGGTCAAGATTGCACAGTCCAAAGCATATTGCTTTCTGCTGCATCTCAATGTACGAATGCGCACCTGTGTGCCAGCGCGCGCCAATGCGTTGGCGATCTCAATGTATTGTGTTTTGGAATCTCAAGGCAGGCGCGGCTCTCGCTGCTCTGCGTCTCTCGCCGCCCGTTGCGGGGGTCGTCGATTACGGTGCTGCAGCTCAGGCAGCCAGGACATTGGCGTCCTGCAGTTTTCTAGACATCCAGTCCTTCGATATTTTCAATGCGGGGTCCCCCAGACCTTTTGATTACTATTTCGAGAGGGCCGCCTGTTTCTCCTACGTCGTTGTGACGGCCCCGAGGACTGAAACCAGCATCCAGAGGCAAAGAAAAGTGGCAAATTGGCCGCGCCTCGATTTTTTCGAGTCGCTGGATGTCTTCGGTTTTTGGAACACTGTCCGAAGGAGCAGGTAGAGGGAGCAACAGTCCTCCTGCCCCCAGCTGGAGGCAGCATCGCTTCTCCCCTTCTCCGCCGAGGCCTCCAGAGGGCTCCAGAAGTCCCCGAGGAGGCTTCCCGAGGTTCCCCAGAGGCCAAGGGCCCAGAGTGACAGGAAGACATCCGCGAGCCTCGGCGAGGAGGAGTGCCCCGCACCCCCTCCCGCCGCCCTCGGCCTCTGGCTCTGCCATCCTGGCCCCCGAAGCAACGCCGAGCCCCCAGAGACTTCCCTGGAGTTTTCGCCCACCCCTCCTCCCTCCTGCTCCTCAGGCGTCGCGGGGGGTCCGTGCCCCTCCTCCTCACTCCTCCTCCTCCTCCTCCTCCTCCTCCTCCTCCTCCTCCTCCTCCTCCTCCTCGTCCTTCTCCTCCTCCTCCTCCTCCTCCTTCTCCTCCTCCTCCTCCTTCTCCTCCTCCTTTTCCTTGCCTCATGTACATGGCAGAGTGCGTACCGAGCCACTCACCTGAGAAAGCAGGGGCCTGGCGTAGTGCGACGCGTAGCGGTTCGCGCCCCTAAGGGCGTGATTCACCGCCCAGTGAATCCGCTGGAGTTGAGGTAGTGTAGAAAGAGAGTGGGTAGTGGTAAGTCTGGCAGGTTTCGTACAGCTCCCATCCATTGCACGGGTCTCGGGAGGGAGTGCACGCCGAGGGGGGGGTGCGGTCCCCCCTCTCCTTTTCCTGTGACACGCAGCTGTGCTACGGAGTTTCCCTAATTGTTGCCTCGGCGGCCAGGCTACAGACCCCGCCGCTCAGGGCACCTCAACTCGAACAGATGGTCCTGCATCCATATTCTACGTTACGCAGGGTTTAAGTATCATTCCGTCGGGGGGACTGACGACCCCCAAGCGCCCTTACCGTACCTTACCTCCTCTCTTCTCCTCCTCCTCCTCCTCCTCCTCCTCCTTCCTCCTCCTCCTCCTCCCCTCCTCCTACTCATCATCATCATCATCATCATCATCATCATCATCATCATCATCATCATCATCATCATCATCATCATCCTCATCATCACCATCATCACCATCATCACCATCATCACCATCACCATCATCATCAGCATCATCAGCATCACCAGCATCATCATCAGCATCACCATCATCATCACCATCATCATCACCATCATCATCACCATCATCATCATCATCAGCATCATCATCACCATCATCATCCACCCGCTTCCTCCTCCCTCCTCCATCTCCATCCCCCATCCGTCCTCTTCCCTCCTCCCTCCGTCCTGGTTCAGCCTCCTCCACCCCGGGGCCGGTCCCCTGGCACTACCCCGAGCCTCCAGTTCTGCACCCCTCCCCCCCCCATCCCCCGGCTGCCGCGCCCTGCGAGGACCCCCGGAGGCGATGGCGCCCGAGCTCTCCCTCGGCGTCGCCGGCAGGGCGGCCGCGATGGGCGCACGGGCCGGCACCCCGGGCTCGGCCCAGGAGCCTTCCTCGCCGCGCAGGTCCTCGGGGCTCGTTCCGATTCCTCCGATTCGATTCGATCCGATTTCGATGGCTTCCGATTCCGATTCGATTCGACTTTGGATTCCGATTCGGGTGCCGATTCCTCAATGGAGGCCGACCAGCCTGTCGATTTCCGGCGATTTGACTTCTTCCGACTCGGTTGCTGGTTTCCGCCGATCCGATTCGTGTCAATCGCCGATCCGACTTGTCGATTCGATTTTGGGTTTTCGTGGGTCCTTGAGGAGGCGGGTCCTGGAGGTCCTTTGCTGGTTTGGCTCCCAGGGGCTTCCTTTGGGGCAAAAAAAAACTTTCGGGATGCATGCAGAGCTGGTTTGGGATTAAATCGAGCATGTCCCTCTGCAGGGGGAATATCAAAAAACAGACAACAAATAGTTCGGGGACGATGTGTTGAGCATTCTTTGACAATTTGGGAATATGCCTTGAGTACTTGTAGTACATACATGTGTTATCACGCTGGCCGTGGGAAACATACAGTTTGCTGCAGCACATGTGCGTTACAGACGAAAAATCGGGTCGATAGGAACCGCTGCTTCTTCCACTAGAATCGCGTAAACATGATGGCTCAGTTCTGAAATGTGGGAGCTGCTTCCCGCCCTTCTCGCCGCGGCCAGGGATCTCACCACCCTTGGTCTTCACTGGCAGACGGCCGCGGCGGCTGCTCGCTGCCCGAGCCCGCCCGCGATCCCAGCCTGCCCAGGGCTGGCGTGCTCTTCTGGGCCTCCGCTGCCAGCCTGCCCTTCACCGCACTGTGAGTGCACTTGTCCCGCTGGGGAGGCGGGGTGCTGGCTGCTGCTGGCCGGCGCTGGCGCGGCGGCTGGAGCTGGGCTGGGCGGCCTGGCGCTTGGCTTGGCGGCGGGCTACACGCTCGGCCCCGCAACGGCGCGACCCCGCGCCGAGGTGCGAGAGGCGGCTGCAACGGCGCCCGTGCTCGACAGGCCCGTGGACATGCAGGCGTTGGTGATCACGCCGAGCAGCAGGCGCGATGGCGGCGCGGCTGCGAACGCTGGACATCAAGGAGCCGCAGATCGTGGTCAACTTCCCAGCGGATGTATCGCCTTGACATCACAGGGCCCTCCTATTCCACATCGGGGATGGCGCGTGGCTCTGCTTGACTCCTGACATGGAGATCACGCGCCACGACTTGAACGGGCTGCGCCACAACATGCTGGACCGCAACGCCGCGTTCCCCCACGGCCCAGGCTGGCTCGCACGCCTTCGACCCTGCGGGCCCCGGGGAGCTGGTGGAGACGAAGCGGCAGGCGCATTAGCGAGCGGCCTTGTTCGGAGCTGGCGACGCTCAGGAGGAGGAGGCCATGATCTGGTTTGTCAGCGATCCTCGGGATGCTCGCTTCGGCCAGGTGCTGGACGAGCAGGCGGTGGACAATCTTAAGAGGTGCGCGCACATGCGCAAGATGGGCGTCATCTCCCTGGACGGGGTCGAGCGCATGATCGCGAGGATCAACCGCGACGAGCGGGGCGACTGGATGAAGGGGCAGCGGGGGCGCGGGGTCGACATCCGCACGATCGGCGACCACCGCTCGAAACCGAGGCGGCGCGACGTCGATTTCAGGGACGCCGTTACGGTGGCGGAGCAGGTGGAGCTCGCCGACCCGCCCGACCTCGGGCCCCGCGCCATGGGCGAGTTCCCGGCCTCCGTTGCGACGGGCAGCAGAAAGTTTGCGAGCTACCAGTCCGAGTGGGAGCGCCTCAGTGGGGTCTTCGCTGGAGGCGCTCAGAGGCTCAGAACCACGAGCACCGCATCCTCCTGGGGACCATCCGCCCCGCGATCTCCCTGGACCTGCTGAACGCGAAAAACCTTCATTGCATGGAGGTTGCAGCGCGACGCGTCATCCAGATAGAGATTGTGGCACATCGAAATCCTCGTCATCCTGATTTCTCAGGTCTAGAAGATGTCACCGCGGGACTCACAGCTTCTACAGGATCTGCCGCTGTTCCGAAGCACCTGCAGCACGTCGTCGCCCGCCTGGAGGACCCCGCGAACATCCCCAAGCAGATGAGGCCGCGCGAGGAGGAGCTCGAGCGCGACCGCCCTGGCGACGACGAGGGACAAGCGGCCGCGAGCCGACAAGGATGGGAAGAAGGAAAATAAGAACAAGAAGAGCGACAAGGACAGACCTCCCCCAGGCGGAGGCTCACGGGGGGAGAGAGGATGACTCCCTCGCCCGGCGTTCACCAGCAGGGCCTGGCCGGGCCCGACGACGGCGGGCGCCGTTCTGGCGGAATTCGAGGCGTTACCAGACGCGACTGGTGGCCTCGCGGCCAGTGGCTTCACAGCGAGTCTTTCCCCTCGCATGCGGTTGACATTGAGAGGCGGCCCGTCTGGGCCCCGCGCTCCACTACGCGCTGATGGACTCAGAACTGAGAGGCACCGGCGAGTATCTGAAGCAGGCGAGACGCTCAACGACCTCGCCGCCTCACGCGCGAATCCAGGGCGCGACAGAGCTCGACGAGTTATGGCGCGCAGAGGGCAGCCGACAGCAGCGCGGCGCAGCGCGCTGGACTCCGCCCAGGAGCGGATGGCGAGTGGCTCCTCCGGGAAACCATCAGATCCATTGGCCAACGCGAACTGGAGCCGCAGCATCTGGCCAGCTACGACGTCACGAAGCTGAGGGCGTGCAAGGGGGACATCCTTCCAGTGCCTGCGGCGGCGTCACCGCCGGCCGAGGCGGCTGGTTTTTCGCGGCGCCAGCAGAGCCAGATCGAGCTCACCGGGCCTGAAGTTTCCGAGCGGGCCCTAGAGGCCGGGGGCTGGCCTGGGCCGCAGTGGGACCTTCGACTTCGCGGCGACGCTGAGCTGCGACGTGACTTTTCCCGCCGACGTGTCAAGATCGGCATCGCAGGCTTCAGGTGGGCGGTCAAGTCCCGCCACGGCGCTTTCTTCGCGCATAAGAAAGATGGGAACACCCGCTGCATCTGCGACGCGAGGGCTACCAGCACGCGCCGTCACCTTCGCCTCGCACAGTTTCGGGAGGGGCCGCCTGCCTCTCCGAGATCGACCCGAACAGCTGCGCGACGTCGCCTGGAGGTTTTGGTCGCGCTTGCGAGCTTTACTTCTCTGGGCCCGACGTCAGGAGCTGCTTCTATCAGCTCGCCGACGAGGAGATAGGTAGCTGGTTCGGTTTCGACTCGCAGCTGCGCTTGGAGGACTGGGACCTCGACCTCTACCGCGTCTGGGGCGATTCCGTCGGCGGCTGGCCGCCCGTCGCGGAGGGGGGAGTTGCTGCGCCCCTGCCTCCGCGCCCTGCCGACGGGCTGGACCTGGGCCCTGTACTTCGCCCAGGAGGCGGCCCCCGACCAGTTTCGAATCTCGCGCCTAGATGGAGACCGCCGGCCGCTTGGCGACAAGCGACTTGCACTTCTCCTTCGACCTGGGAAGCCGCCGGCCGCCGCGCACGTCGACAACTTCACGGGCGTCGGGGGCTCGGCGGCGGACGCCGCGAGGGGCGTGGAGGCCTTCCAGGGGCGGGCTGGCACTGCTGGGCCTGGCTTGCACGCTGCTGACATCGCGGTGCAGGAGCTGGAGGAGCTGGAGAGCCCGCGGCGCCGACCGCCGCGTTCGGCCGAAGCCGCGACGGGCGCGGCGGTTTTACTTCGCCGCGAAGGCCATGCTGGAGCGCGGCCGTGCGAGCGGGCTTGAGCTTCGCATCTGGGCCGGGCACGCCGCGGCGCCGCTGGGCCTGCAGCCGCGCCCGCTTTCGACCCTGCAGGAAGTATGCCACTTCATCGGGAACCGGGCGCGGCGCCGCTCCGCGCTGCCGCCGCTGGTGCGAGGCGAGCTGCGCATGGCCGCGATCGCCCGCTTCTTGACGGACGCCGACCTGGGCGCGCCACTGTCTGATGAGGTCCACGTCTCAGACTCCTCGTCGGGCGGGTTCAGCCTGATGCATGGGCGGAAGCCGCTGCGCGCCGTCTGGAGCGCCCACCGCTGGCGGGAGCGCTGGCGGTTCGTGGAGGTCGAGGCGGAGGTCGACGCCGGCGCCTACACCGCGGCATACCTCAACCAGCTCCGGGGCGTTACAGACGGCTTTGGGTCCACGCTGAATGAGGGAGCTGCGAAGCACGCTGACTGGCGGGAGACTGAGCTGGGGCAGCTCATGTTCCGCCGAGTTGGCGAGGCTCGAGGCCAGCGGCGTCGCCGGGCGGGACGGCCTGGCCAGAGCCGCGAGGTCGAGCTCCTGAACGCGGCCCCCGCCCTGTCCGCCACCCTTACCGATGCGGCTGGGTGGGCCGCAGCTTTTGAGGGCCGCTGACGGTACGACGAGCATATCAGTGCGAGGGAGGGTGGGATCTGCGCGGCAGGCCTGAGGCGTTTCTGCCGTGCGCGGGCCAACCATGGTAAAAGCTGCCTGAGCCTTTGCGACAATCTCGTGTACTGCTGTTGTACTGGCAGAGGCCATGCTCGCTCTCACGTTCTCAAGTCACTGCGCCGTAAGGCAGCAGCTTGCAGCGTGGGCTGCCGAGTGCGTTGGCGAGTCCGACACGCGCAAGCTGACTTTGTTGCAGATGCGGGGCCCAGACGGCACGAGGCCCCTGATCCCGAGTGGATATCTCAGAAGAAGCAAGAGCGGCAGACCGTTGCTCCCTGGCTGCCCTCTCCGTCGCTGGAGGCGGGGGGCTGTTCTTCTTCCTCGTCCAGCTTATCAGCCAGAGAACATGTTGAACACACACCGTACACACCTACTCCCACTACCTCAGACGCGTGAGTTTGTTTCCGGTGTTTGTTGCAGGCGAAGCGGGGTCGACCGCTGTAGCGCGAGAGTCGGGCCTGCGCGTTGCGACGCCAGTGGATATCAAGCGCGGCGCTGAGTTCGGCTTGATACGGGGGAAAACACCGTTACTTGTCATGTCTTGGGTGCGCTCTGGGAGGACGTGGGCAGTACATCTTGGGACGCCACGTCGGTCTTGGAGCATCGCCCGTCACGGAGTTCGCGTTCGCGCCACGGAAGTCTGAGGGTCGAGTTTGCACAGTTCACCTCGGAGCTGGTTCGAGAATGTCAACGTTGCGGAGTAGGGTGGGGCATCGAGAACCCCATGACTTCGGGGCTCTGGAGTTTTCCTCCCGTTGGGCGTCTCGCGGGTCTTCGGGGTGCACACTGGATACGGTTCCTTCCGTGTGTTCATGGTGCCCCTCATCAGAAATGGGCTCTGGTGCTCACGAATATACCAGAGCTCAACTGCTTGGAGGCTCCCTGTACCCATAGTCTTCACGAACCCCACGTGGGCAAAGTTCGAGTTCCCGATCGTTCTGAGGTCACGCCTGGTGTACTTTCACAGCCTTGGCGGGTCAGTGTCCGTCGGCGTTGCGATCGAGATGGGCTTCCCTTCTCAGCGAGATTGCACCTTTAGCAGTGCGGGGGGGGCGATGCCCCCTGGGGCGGCGAGCGGCTCGCTCCCCAGCGCGCGCTGGCGCTGCCTGCTCGCGGCCGTGCTGGCGAGCGCCGTGTTCCAGCCGCTGACGAAGCAGCGGGCCGCGACGCGGGGCGCGGGGCCGCTGGCGACTACCCCGCGAAGCACTGCGTCCTCTTCGGCAGGGCAGGCGCCGCGGAGCGGGCTCGGCTCAGGCGGCGCGGGGACGCCCTCGACCTCCCCGTCGTTCCGCCGCCTGGCCTCGGTCAAGACCAAGGCCGCCAGGCGCCGCCGCCGCGCCGCTGACAGCGGCCGCTCTCGCGCGGACTTCACGCGCCAGATGTCGGCGGCAGCCTCCACGCTGAAATTGCACCGCAGTGCCGTCGACGCTTTTGAAAGGCGGTGCAGCGAAGAAGGTCGTCAGAATAACAGTTGCACAGGCGCTGATGAAAAAATGGCGCAGCGGTTTGCCGCGATGTTCTTCGGGATGGGCCCTGGGGCGGGTCGGAACGGCTTGTTTGGCTGGATCTTCCCACGAGGCCTTCGCGCTCGGCGGCAATTGAAAGGCTGGGAACGCGCTGGCCCTGGTGCAGATGGGTTGCCCGATCCTCTGATTCTCATAGATCCCATCGCTTCTGATATGCTGCATCGGGGGCTGGTTCGCACGGCAGCCCGCGCTGCGCTACAGACCTGTCTGCACTCGCGGCCTTCGGAGACACTGGAGCCTATTGAGGCTGACATCCTTCGCAGCCAGCCCGGGGCAGGCCGCGCCTTTACTGGCCGCTGGGCAGCGGCGTTCGCCCCGACGGAGTCTGGGAGGCGGACCAGGACAGGACAGGCAGATGACACCGTGGACGCGGGCGTGCGCGGTCGAGAATGGGCGCGCGATGTAGAGGCCGCGTTGAAAGACTCAGTGCTGCATGGAAAATCATTCCTTCACGTCGACCTTGCGACTTACGGGAGAGATTCCAAGGCGAGCCTCAAACGTTTGATACTGCAAGCGCTTGGAGGCCCCCCGCACTGGTTGCGCCATTAAGGGCCTTCGAATGACAGATCCGAGAAGAAAGCTGACCTTCAGTCAATTCAACAAGCGGACGCTGGATCAGTTTCAAGTGGGTCACGAGATAAGAGAATCATGCGCAGCTACTGGAGCAACGTGAGCATCGCGTTCCTGCTCAAATTCGAAGCAAAAAGTATACCGAAGCTTGTCTTCCTGAGAACATGTTGCGCTCGCTTCGAGAGTTGTCGGCCTCGAGACCAGTCCCGATGAGTTCGGGAGGCTTGGCGCTGAAAGGACGAATGCGCGTGCGCCCTTCCTCCAGCTAGCGCAAGCTGCTTTAAACCTGATAGCGCGGGTGCCGATCTCGCCCGCCCCGATGCTGATCGGACTCGCCTTGCAAGCTCTGCGGGGCGTCACTGTCCAGGCCTGCGAGGCTTAGAATGTGATTGAGGCCCTGCCTCGTGCTCCGCTGCCGCGTCGGATACCATTGTTGGCATGCTGTCGAAGGGCCGTCGGAGAATGTTCACGCGTCGCCCAACATCCGCCTGTAGGGGGACATGCGCGACCGAAGTCTCGGGGCAAGCCCCTGCGGGTCCAGGGTTTGCTTCCTCCAGCCCCCGCTTGTCTCCTCCATCGTTCGGCGTCGCGGGGAGGCAGGGGACTCTCGGTGCCCACGACTTACCAGGCCACCCCAGCCCGACCCGAAGTTCCAAGGGGCGCACGGGATCCATGGTAGTCAAGAAGCTTACGCCGTTCCGCGGACCCCAAAGGAAATAACAGACTGGTTGAGAAAAATTCGCCTGACGAAAGACCCAACCATACGTAGTTGTGAATACCGCAATTGTGGATAGATTCTTCGGTGGCGCCCCCGGGCCACCAAACGAGTGAGGGGTGTGCCGAAATGGGGGGGGGAACCGCATGCGGGCGCAGCCACTGGGGCGTTCGGTGGAGCTCCCTATGGGGCCACGAAACGTGTGAGGGGTGTGCGAGAATGGGGGGTGGAACCGCATGCGGGCGCAGCCACTGGGGCGCTCGGTGGAGCTCCCTATGGAGCCACGAAACGTGTGAGGGGTGTGCCAGAATGGGGGGTGGAACCGCATGCGGGCGCAGCCACTGGGGCCTTCGGTGGAGCTCCCTATGGGGCCACGAAACGTGTGAGGGGTGTGCCAGAATGGGGGGTGGAACCGCATGCGGGCGCAGCCACTGGGGCCTTCGGTGGAGCTCCCTATGGGGCCACGAAACGTGTGAGGGGTGTGCCAGAATGGGGGGTGGAACCGCATGCGGGCGCAGCCACTGGGGCCTTCGGTGGAGCTCCCTATGGGGCCACGAAACGTGTGAGGGGTGTGCCAGAATGGGGGGTGGAACCGCATGCGGGCGCAGCCACTGGGGCCTTCGGTGGAGCTCCCTATGGGGCCACGAAACGTGTGAGGGGTGTGCCAGAATGGGGGGTGGAACCGCATGCGGGCGCAGCCACTGGGGCCTTCGGTGGAGCTCCCTATGGGGCCACGAAACGTGTGAGGGGTGTGCCAGAATGGGGGGTGGAACCGCATGCGGG